GCGTCGTGTTAAAGCCGATCAAACAAACAAACTGCCCGCGACGACACGCGCTCGGTGCCTGACCGAGGAGCAGAATTTTCTCATTCTCGTCACACTTTTAATACCCTGAAGAGTTTCAGGGTGTTGCTACTGAAATCTGCCCAGCAGTGCAAAGCGGGGGAGAAAGACAAGTTCCTGTCCGTGCCCGGGTTACCGTCACTCTCGTGATGCTGCTCTCTCTTCGGGGACACAGCGTGCAACCTTCCCACCAAGCAGGATTGCTTGAGTCTCCTCATTGCGCGTTCTCCTGTTTCTCTCCAGTGCAATGGTGTGCTGCTCATGGCATGCCCTTTGCATAATTCCTTCGTAATTCAAACGTAAATGTCACCACACGTATACTACACGCGGCTGAAATTTCACGCCCGTTTGGCCAGCCACCATCTGTGGGATCCAGTTACCTCCACAAGACCCCTGAAGAGGTGACGGCGGTGGGCGGAAAGTGAGCGGGCCCCAGCCCCGCAGTCACGCTCCGGCAGCCCAGCCACACCTCCGGTTCAAACCCCGCTCTCTGCCTCCCCAACGCCACAGCACGCCCCACGGTCAGAGCGAGCGGGCGGACGCCGAGCTCGGACAACTCCCCGGCACCAGCCTGCGGGAGCAGAAGCAGCACGCTGAGGACGGGGTCTGTCCTAAAGTGCAACTGGAGAGCCTTGGGAACAGGGCGTGAGGGAGGGACCAGCTGCCGTAGTTAGAGTTTCTACACCGACACGGCCAACATCTACAGCTGCAACGCAACTCCGATGCGAGGAAGCCTCAGTAAGGACAGAGGGTCCCAGCAAACTTTTGAAACAAAACAGTTCAAAAAGCCAGAGGAAAGTGTCCTCAAACAGCAACGTCCCAGCACGGGGCTTTCAAAAACGCCTGTTTGTCCATTCAAGTTAAATACAAAATCAGTTCCTAGAGAATTTTTTTCTCTTAACTTCTCTTTAAAAGTAACTTTTCTAAATAGAAAAAAATTAGGAAATGTGATCCTTTTAAACAAGCTAAACCACAGTGAAGCATTCAGGTTTTACAACTGGAGTAGATTTCTCCAAGTAGTTACCTTTCTTAAAATTCCAGGAATTACATTCTGGCACATTTCAATTCTCCTCTGGTAAATAATTCCCGTAGACAAATCTGATGATAAAAGAAAATCAGAAGGGAAGAGTTACAGCAGAAAACGTTACCTTTTTTTAAATAAAAACAAAGCAGTTGGAAGACTTCACAGCACAGCAAATGTGCAAGCAGCAGAAATGCTGGCAAATTAACAGAGCACTGAGGGGGGTGGGTTTCGTTTGTTTGGGGTTTTTTTTAAGTATAACCCAGGAGTGCTGCTGCTTTGCCAGGCAGAGGGCTGTAAATCAGACTGCTACGGGCACTCTGCGCTCTGCCTCGGGCAGAGGGCATCTGCAGCCCCCTCTGTGACCCAGACCCCCTTCTCCAGTGCCTGCTATGAGCACTGTGCTGGCATTTATAGCGGTGCTCCTGGGTAGCAAAGCGCTGCCGGCAGACAGCCTGCAGTTTAGTTCACTTCTATCCCCCAACAATTTACATTCTGAGGCGCATTCTCTGGGTGAACACACTGTGTGAGATTTACAGAGCAGTCCTGTCTCATCACACATTTATTTTTGTATGGAGGTGGACCCAGTGACAAGGACAAAACTATCTATTAGGAAACAAATTACAGTTATTTAGTATATCCAAAAAAATGGTTGGCTTTTAGAATCACTTTGCCTTTTAATATTTAATGACCCAGATCAAGAACAGAGCGCTACCGAACGAGAAGCCAACTGGCAGGCAGCCCAGGTTAAAGACTTCTCTGGGATAAAAGCGTACCTTCTTCAGCAGCTGCATTTGCTGGGATCTGTGCAATGCAAACTTCACGGGGTTCGGTTTCTAGAACGCTAACACACACACCCCCCCCCCACACTAACACTACTTCCGCATACAACGCAGAGCAGAAAAGCATTCTGCAGGAAGAGTGGTTCGCTGTCTTTGAAGAAATTGGCAACGGCAGCACTAATGCTCGGCCTTCTGGAATCTCAGGGCAACCTCACTAACAACTTGCTTAGAAAGAGAGCATAAGCCTGGAATCAGGAGCCACCATTAAACGTGAGCTGCAAGACAGAAGACATCTCCAAATGTACAACAAAGAGCATCCACAAGCATTTGGGAATAAAACTTTAAAGTCCATCCCAAACGAGTATTTGATCACAGTTCCCACATTTGGAAGAACGCGGATCATCTCCACGCAGAGCCCCGTGGCGCTTGTTTCCCACGGGGTGGCACAGCTGCTCCACACATCCTCCGCACAGGCATGGTACCTGAAGCGCCTAATTGCAAGCATTTCCTGCAAGCTCAGCAACTGGAAAACAAAAATCCACGTGGTGTCAGCAGACCTGATCTGACAACTGCGCTCTGACCCGAGCAGAATTATTTTCCCATCAATACGACTGGGAAATGGTAACATCTGATTTTCGATATTTCAGCAATTCTGACTGACAAAGCAAGAGACTGAGGATCTGTGATCGCCTTCTGACTGTCAGCAACCTGCAAGGCCACTGCGCAAGCCTCTGATTCCTGGCACTACCTCCTCATCTGGGAAGCGGAGCAGCAAGAGATCCCCCCGA